CTTTTTTTTTTTTTTTTTTCCCTCCCCCGCTCCCCTAGCGGAGCTGCCCCGGGGGGGCGGCCCCGCGCTCGGCGGTCACCGCGCCCGCTCCCGGCCCCGTGTTTCTGGCGGGGGGCGCGGCGGCCCCGCAGTCCCGCCGGGGCGGACCCTGCCCTGCGCCCCGGAGGCCGGCGGGGCGCGGGCGCCCGCGGGCCGCGCCGGGCCCGCCCGCCTCGGGGCGCGGCGGCGGCGGGGCCCCCCCAGCGGGCCCGTCCCCCCCGGGCCGGCGCGGCCCCCGGTACCTGCTGATCTTCTGCGCGAAGGCGCGGCGCTCGGCCATGGCCGCGCTGCGATCCGCGCTGCCGGCCCGGCCAGCGCTCGGCCGCCGTAATGCTCCGCCGAGCCGCGCACCCGCGCGGCGCAGCCCGCGCAGCTCCCACCCCCGGCGCTCGCCGCGCCCGCCCGCCTCCTCCCCCTGCGCGGGCAGGGGCCGCTCCTCGCAGATATACGGCGGGGCGGGCGGGCCCGGCGCGGCGAGGAGGGACCGCTCCCATTCCCATTCCCGACCCCGTCCCCCTGACCTCCCCCGCGCTCGGACAGACTTCACGGGGTGCTTCTCGTCCCCACCGCGGTGCCGCTTTACTCCCATGTGAAAACGGAGCGGGTGTGGGGTTGTTCCCGGCACTGATGGAGACCTGCTGGTGGTTTGGGAAAAAGGCTTCTCAGCCGGCTCATGCCGCCCAGCATCTCATCCCGGCCCTCACCCAAAACTGCAGCAGGGGTCCCGTGTGTGCCGACCCTTGGGGGCACCTCACCGGACCACTGAACCAACTGGGTTTGCAAAGACCTCTGAGATCTCCGAGTCCAACCTGTGACCAAACACCACCTTGCCAATTAGACCACGGCACTGAGTGCCACGTCCAGTCTTTCCTTAAATGCCTCCAGGGTTGGAGACTGCACCACCTCCCTGGGCAGCCCCTTCCGATGTCTGATCACCCTTTCTGTGAAGAAATTTCTCCTGATGTCCAACCTGAACCTCCCCTGGCACAGCTCAAGACCTCACTGGATGTCACGGGTCTCTTTGGCCATCAGCATACCCACCCTGCATGGCACTGAGGACACCACTGACCACCACAGTCCTGCCTGCAGGGACACCACTGGGCTCTCAGTCTGTCCTGCCCTGTATGGTACCAACTTGTCCTTCAGACAGGCTAAAACTCATCCCTAATGATGATTCAGAGGATGGTTGGAAAAGTGTAACATCCACCTTCCCATCCAAACAGGTCATTACTACCAGTCTCTCCAAACGTGCTGTATTTGGGGTCATCCCAATGGGAAGAGGAGGTAGAGAATGGGGAATTAAAAACAAACAAACAAACAAAACCACAACACTATTTTGAGACTTCAAAGCATAGGACACATTCTAGCAGTTAATTCCAAGTCACTGTTACCCTGCACAGGCTGTGCCTTGATCTAAACCAGAGAACTATTAATAGTAACCCAGGAAGTGTCCAAAAGCAGGAGCACTAATTCACCCTACTCCATCTGTTTGCATTGTGTGAATGTTTCCCACACACTGAGGACACCAACTCTTCCCCTCGCAGGAGCCACTGCTTTCCAGCTGCATATAATTACTCTGCTTTCCTGTGTGTGTTTACACAGGGAATGCCAGGCCCCCAAATCTGCAAATGCATACACGTGTGAGTAACCCCAGTGGATTTAGCCAGGCTCTGTGCACACACCAAGCGAATCCCACGTGGGTAAGATTGTGACCCTTGACAGAAATGTGCTGTTGTGCATTACACAGATGGAGATCCTGAGAAGCAAAGACCAATTGTACACACTGAGAAAGGGATGTTCTTCTCCAAAGGGGATGGGAGAAAATATCCCACAGTATCTGCCAAGACAAAAGACTTTTGCTCTGGAATTTCTGCCTGCGTGGATGATTGCACACTAGAGAATTCCATCACATAGAGTAGATGGGATAAGCTATTTACCTTCTTATATCCACAGAAATTGTGGGTGCCCTCTGGAAGTGTTCAAAGCCAGGTTGGATGGCGCTTGGAGCAACTTGGTCTAGTGGGTGGTGTCCCTGTCCAAGGCAGGAGATGATCTTTAGAGTCCCTTCCGGCTCCAAACACTCCAGGCTCAAACCTGGGCCAGATGAGCTCAAGCCAATATAGTTGGGTTAAATATGAACAAAATCCCTCAATTAATAGTCAACATCAAGTGAATTCCAGAAAAACAACACACTTCTCATTACTTTTCAGATAGTAACAGCCCAGCAAAAGTCTACAGGTGACTTCAAATAATAAAAGATCGCTGAGGTTGGTAGAAATGTACACATGACCTTGCACAGGGAACCAAGAGCTTCTCTAGACTGTCTGAGTTTTGCAGTGTGTGGAGCATTAACTAAAACAAGTCACAGAAAAAGTGAAGAAATATGAGGAAAAAAAAGATGTAGTTTTTTACCATTATAAATCCAATAATGCCAAACATTAAAACTCATGTTAACAAATCCTGCCCCCATATCCCTGGTAAGTCAGTGATTGAAGAGGAGGTGTTATTTCGGGTACTAGGGTGAGTGCTGCCACTGACAGGCACAGAGCCACATAACCCTCCTGCCTCTTGTTTCCTCATCTTATAAGTGAATTAATTGAAGGAAATGCTTTGTCTGAAGAAACAAACTCAAGCTTTGCAAAGAAGAGAATGTGACCAACTAAGCACAGAGACCGGTTACGTGGAATTTTGGTCTGCCAAAAAAATTTCTCCAGGCATCTCTTTAGGAACTAACAGCTCCCTCTGATTCAGAGACAACTGATGTGTGGCAAGTTTTTCCTGCAGAAGATGGAACTATTTTCTTTTAATAGTGTGAAATTGTATGCAATAGATGAGGTATTTGGAGTATTGCACTGCTTATTTTTCATGAAGTTGTTTGTGCTTTTGTATTGTCCTCAAGGGTGTCTGGTATCTCAGAATGAGGGTGAAGACAAAGAAAGACCAACCTCAGTGGAGGGACTGTGTACACTGCAATTAATACCTCCAGACAGCTCAAGTTAATTTAAATTAATATTTGGATAGAGGCTACATATTTCTAGCAACCAATTTAAAGCCTGGAACTTTATCAGCATTATGAGGATACTGAATCTCTCCATTAACACACTGTAATTCTTTACCATGTTTTAGGAAGCAAAGAAGGAACCTGATTTGTTCTACACTGGATCCCAACGGTGCATCAGCCTTTGAGAGACATCACTGCCTCCAAAATGGAGTTAGTCCATCTATGCGGCCATCATTAACAAGCATTTGTTGCTCCAGGGAAACGGTATCTTAGAAGCTGGGAGTGATCCTCACCTGAATTGGTGCATTAGCACTGGAGCACAGGAAAGAAAACAAAAAAACCTTGGGAGTTGAGGAACACTGTGAAAGGTGATGGTCTGCACTGCAGTTGTTGCACTTCCCTTTTAGTCAACTAATAATTGCTGATTTGAGGGCTGGGGAAAAGCCCAACAACTTACCAAGACATGGACTGTCACGTTGAAAGTCACCTTCTAGTCTTCTCTATGTAACAAAAAGCTGAGGAATGAACTGTTGAGTCTACAACTGTGAGCTGAATTTGGGCTGAGCACCCACCGGAAGTTCATGGTGTGGACACAGGGATCTTCCACCTGGAGCTGTGGAACCACAGCTCTTACACTGAAGGGGTAGGAATGAAGAAGCATTTTGATTAATTCCCCAGGGTACCTGTCCATGAACCACGTGCATCCTTTGAAACACGTGATTAAAATGCTTCTTTTTATTGAGAATGACTTTTGCTCAGCTCTAATCAAATCTGGTAAATGCATCCTGCAAACAGAAATGTAATTCCTTGAGCCTGATATATGTAATCTTACAGTGATAAGATTAGGTCCTGCACAAGAAAAATCCCTTTGGGTTGCAGCCATAAAACATTCTGACAAAAGCGAACCACTCTGTGCCTTGTTTGTTAGCAGACTATTTACTCAGCCCATGGCTTCCTTGTTCTCCTTACGTAAACTTCCTCAAGGCAAACACACTGAAAACATTTTCCATGGAAAACGTGTCCAACGTAATTCCATAAACAAAGTAGTAAACAGGGACTGCAAATGCAGAGAGCCATCTCCTGGCAGCTACAGGGAACAAGTCACACTCACGAAGGGCCAAATCTCTGCTACTTCCGCCAAATAATGTGTTTAAAGACAAGGAACTACACGTGTGATGTGAACTGCCCAAGCAGAAGGACCTTCTCCAGACATGTGTGGCAAGAGGAAGGAAGTTGCTGTTCTCAGACAAGGAGTAGCCTTGTCTGCCCAGTGCCCAAATTCTGCTGGATGAACAAGGATCCAGGAGAGGAAAGGAGGAGTGAGGACTCTCCAAATGCCTACAGCCTTCACTACATCCCTCACATTTATATTATTTCCTTCACAGATCCACAGAACTGTCCCAACCTTTCTACAGCCTTCTTCACATGGTGGTGTTTGGTGCCAGCCTCCCTTTTGCCTTTATTCTTTGCCTCCTGAAATTATTTCCCTTCACAGCTCTTAATTTTAGTAAATGGGTGCATGAAGTTCAGTCTCCTCAGAGAAGGACTCACAGTCTTCCCAACTGAGCATCCATCAATTTCTGCTCATGGTTATCATTTTTGGGCAGTTTATGTTTCTACTCCAACACAGCTTTCAATCTCTCCCAGTTTAACTCTCTGTAAATGCCACTAATGTGCCCTTTATTTCCTCTTCCAGGTATTTAACCAAGATCTTACATTAGGGGCAGCCTGGGACAGATTCTTACAAATATCCTGCTGAAGCCTCCTCTTCCCTACCTAATCCTGGGATAAAGAAATCTGGTTTTGGATGGATTAAGTGGTACAAGCAGAAGTGTGCTGGCTAATTTGGGAGAGACAACCACCTCAGCAGCAACGCAGGCACACACTGCCCCTTCCACCCTCATTGCTGCTTGAAAGGATGGGGCACAAGTTCACACAGCCTGGATTCCCATGTTTTTCCCTTATCCTGTTCCAGGATCTCTTTTTACTTCCACAAAAACTGGAGGTATTTAGTATCTCTGAGCCTCTGCAAAGTCAAACTTCAGAATGGTTTCAAAACTTTCCAGAAGGAAACAGATCACAGATGGCTTACTTCCCTAGGAAATGAAACTAAAAATAAATGAGGGAAAACTCCCTTCTCTCAAGCTCTGTGACCCAGGGTCTGCTCTGCTCAGACAGCAGCCAAACGGGTGTTTGCGAAAGCACATTAGGCCAAATGTTTAATGAGGTTTTCTAAATATATTGTAGATTATTGATGGTGCTCAGATGAATTCCCAGATCAAGTCAGACAGTGGGAGATACAGGAGTAGGAGCTTCATTCTCCACTGCCCAGTGTTCTCTTACTGCTCTGCAGTATTTGGTGGATAATGTTGTGTATCTCCATAAATCAGAGAGTATCTCCTCTAATTTTAAGTCTTGCCATGGCCACTTGGTGTCTACCTATTCAAAAAATCAAAAATGAACTGTATTTCCCATGAACATGGATTTTAAGTATTTCCTTACATACATTTTAAGTATTTCCTTACATTCATTTAGCACAACTGGAACTCAAGGATGGTTGGCATGGTCTTCATGCCATTAAAATGCTGAAAGTGTGAACTCTGTGCCATTTGTTAGAAGTTTGTTGAATGAAGTTCTGTCCCACTCCCCTTGCAAATCTTTCCTACAGAAATAGGCATTAGTGGATGTGAAGGAAACTCTCTCTAACAGACAATTGTGTTATCTGAGTGATTATTTGGCAACCAAAGTTTTCTTTTGCATGAAAAAAAAAAAACCCCACCAGAAAATAAATACCTTCCTTTTTATAACCTGCCTGCCTGAGGGATTTCCAGTGTATATCCAGATGGCATGTTGTGTGTCAACTCAGGGCACAGCTATTCCATTTCAGAGCAGGAAGGTGCAGGCAGCTGATCTCAGGCAAGGGAACAGCCATTTCCTTTGATGAACTGGGTAATTCTTTGTTCAACATTTAGCCAGTTCCAAGCCACGTTATCTACTCAGCTCTCCACATTCGAGCCCATACACAGAGAGACAAGCACATTCATCTTTGTCTTTGAGAATAAAAGCAAAGATAAAACTTTAAACAACTATTAGTCCTGAAAAAGATCATGAAATTCTGGTTGCAGGGGGCCCACTTCCTTCTGCCCTGATAGATCACCCACTATTGTGGGACCACATTTTGTTTACAACAGACAGCAACTTGGGTTTTATTTTTAATATTTATCTTTGCTTGCAAGCAAATGGTGAGCACTGAGCTGAAAGGCAGGGAAGGATTAGAAAGGTGATCTGCTACGTCCCCACTTCAAGCCAACAGGCAGAACCTTTCAAACATGATGTTGCCTGCTTTGCATATTAATACCTACAATTCTCTTTACTGACTGACCCTACTATGTGAAATATATCCACGAGATTGCAAAAAAACCCCACCAGGAAATACACAAAACATCTACTGTTGGTATTTGCACCGAAGCTAAATTTTAGATCATATGCTACAATCATGTGCTGATTACAAAAATTAAACTCAGCCTGATCATTTCTGACCAGCAGAAGGCAGTAAAATCACAAAATGGAAAAAAACCTCTTGACTTTGCTTCATGAACATAATTCATGAGTACACAAAGAAAGCAGGAACATCATCCTTTTATAAGATATTGAGCTGTAATGCCAGTTCCAGACAGCTGAGAAATTCAAGTCAATCCTTCACAAATCCTGCACTTTTTTTTTTTAAGCCCTGGGCTCCTGATACACCCAATGAGTATTTTTAAGCAGCTTAAGACAAACAGATTAATGAAGAACCTACTTTAAAAAACACTAAAAAACCCCAAATCCCTCAGGGGAGTGAGAGGAGATGCAGTGGCTCCCATGAGGTTCAGAGAAGAAATAAAGCAGTGAATTGAATGAGAGCATAATCTTTGCAGAGGGTGGGCTGGAGACTGAAGTCCTCCGGAGTGTGGAGATTCAGGAAGCATTTTGCTCTAATGAAGTCAAAAGACGCCGAATTAAAAAAAAAAAAAAAATCAATAAATACAATGGCTAATCAAAACAAAAAACGATCAAAAAACCCCCAAAATCAAAACAAAAAAACCAGGAAAAAAAACTCACACAACCTCCCCACAAACAAAACCACAAAAACCCCACCAAAACCCAAACTAAAACCCCCAGCAAAACAGAAAATCCTCCCCCAAAAAACCCAAACAAAGAGAGAAACACTGTTAAAGGGCAGCTGCCGATTCCATGACGGGTCGGGCTTCCCGCTGCCGCCCACCTTCCTGTGGTTTCGCCTCCAGCCACAGCCCGGCCCCCCGATCCTCTCAGCCCGCCCCGCCGCCTCTCTCCGTCCTTTTCCTCCCTCTCTTCTTTTCCTCCCTCCTCTTCCTCCCTCATTCCCTCCTCTTCCTCCCTCCTGCCTCCCAGCCGCCCTCCTACTGGACTACCACTCCCAGCGTGCCCTGCGCACTCTGCCCGGCTCGGCCCGCCGCGCCCCCGCCGCGGTGCCTGCCGGGAGTTGTAGTTCCGGCGCCGCTCCGCCGCGGCAGGCGCAGCGCCGGGAGGCCGCTGGCTCCCCGGGCGGCTCCGGGATGGCGGGGGCGGCTCCGTGAGCGGTGAGCGGTGAGCGGGGGGCGGCGGGACGGACCCTCCGCGGTGCCGGCTCGGGATCGCCTTTGTCCTGCGGGGGCGCGGTGTGTGGGGGCTCCGGCTTGGCTGTGAGTCCTCCGTGGGTAAAGCGTTCCATCTCTTCTGCAGGATTTAACGGGGAAAAGAAATAATCTGGGTCTGTTTGTTTGGTTTTTTTTTCGCCCGGCGGCTTCAAAGTATCGTTTTTAACTGTCTTCATGTGTGTTTGCAGCTCCTTAAAAATGACCTCCGGGAATTCCTCGCTGTCGTTCTTCCGTGTGGGTTTCACCGACTGTCGCTGCCGCTGGTTCAGGTTCTTCCCAGGTAGAAATCCAAAGCAAAGGGGTCTTAATTCCTGCTTAATAGAGATAATTATTTTCATAATTATCACGTTTGGGCTTCATTCATTTCATTTCGTCTCCCATTGCGGTTGCATCAGCGGGTTGCGTTGGGTTTTTGCTGTTAATGAAAACAAATCCTGTTATTGGGGAGTTTTGGGGTGTTTCTCCATCACTGTCAATAAACCATCCTTCTCGGAGGGTGGGCAGAGGGGGCTCCCAGGGGTCAGGAATTCGTGTTTCCGTTGTAGGTGTGTCCTGCTGCTCTGGGAGCGAACATCGTCCTGCGAATGTGTATTCAGATAACTTCTTACAAGAGTTATCAGTATAAAACCACTGGCTTTAGATTTAAATAATTTAATAATTTTGTGCCCCTTGGGCTTGGATCTGTATTCCTCGGGACCGTCTCCTGATGCTGTTCCATTAATTTCAATGGAACTCCTACTGATGCCGCCTTCTACTGATGGGAAGAGCCTGTCTTTTCCCAGTGGAGTAAGTGTGTCTGGTTTGTGTTACCATTCTTCTTGGAAGCCCTTTTTGCATCTTTAGTATAATACCGGGGAAGAAATGCAACTGAAGGGAAGATAAAGGTGCTGCACTGACCATTGTCTTTTGCAGGAAAATGAGCAGCTTTCTCATTTAAATAATTTTGCCTTCAGGCCCTTTTGGAAGTGTAGAGTTTGTTTCATTTTTAATTTTAGCCAGAGGAAGCTTTTATAGGAATTGGCTTTTAAGGCAACCAGTGGCCTCTGCATAAATGACTGTTGCTGATGGATCATGTGGGGACAGACAGGACCAAACACGTCCTGGAGAAGTTCATCTTACTCGTTTTGCCATCTAGAGTTGATGATATAGACAGTCTTTTCTTCCTAAAGGAAAAAGAGAGGAGAAAAAGGCAAGAAGTCAAAACCCAGTTTGAAATTGTCTTTTCTTCTCTCCCATACAAAATCTCAGCTTGACTCAAGGCCAATCACAGCAGGGTTGTAGCCATTTCTTATTTTCACTGGCAAAAAAAAATAAAAAGCAGACTTCCCCCACATGTGTGAACTGGCATTGCTTCTTTTTCTGTCAAAAAGCAGATTTTGGTGAAATAATATGATGGAATAGTGGGAAAACACGCTAGGGAGGGCTTGGGCAGCAGAGTGAAACAATGGATCTGTGTAGCACCCTCAGGCTCTGATGATATTGCCACCCTGACATCTTCACCCTCTCTTCAATTACACTGTCAGTGATTAGGTTTTACTTAAACTGGGCTCCCAGTGGAGAGAAGCGACACAGTTTAGTCTGTGTCCTGCTCTGGATCCCAGTTCAATGGGGAATAACACATGGAAAGGTAAATACAGTTCTAGATTGTCCTTTTAAAGTAAGGAGGTTGTCTCATGGCCCCAGTTTATTAATTAGATTAGATAATTCACTTTTGTTCACGTCATCCTCTGGTGTTATCAGGACTTCCTGTTGAGGCCAGAGCTCTTAATTTTTCAGTTGTCTGTGTAAAGGTTTGGGCTGCCAAATATCGTCTGGAAAACCTGTATCAAGTAATTTAAAGTAAACCACTGACAGAATACACGTGGTGAAGGAATCTGTTAATTAATAGCAAATTTGCTGTTACAGAAAGGTGCAGAAAGATGCATCTTCATCTCACTGCTGATTAAAATGGGTGTTTTTGTGTGCCAGCACAGGTTATGTGCTCTACAGCAGCTTGCTGTGCAAGGGAGAGCTGTTGGAGAACATTATATTTTATTTAGCTTTGTGTAGTGCTTTTATTGGTGTGTATTTGGAATTAAATTATTTTATTACTTATTCATGGAATGTGGGATTGCTTCTCAGTGTCTGGTAGTGGAGGATTCTGCGAGTTTATTGCTGTTTCTGGCCATGTTGTGCTTAAGTACCTGAGTGGGGGATGCTGTGCCCATGGATATGTTTGTATTTGTGTTTTTCCAGCAGCAGAACTGAAAGCCTTACAAGACAGAGATGGCTTTTTCTCCAGGATTTGAATATGGAAGCCACAGGGACAGATGAAGTAGAAAAGATAAAATCAAAGTTTATGTCTGCATGGCACAACATGAAATACAGTAAGTGGAGCAGTGTCTGGTAAGATCCTGTCTCCATTCAAAGGAATGGAATGTTTCTTGTTGACATGAATGGGATCATGATTCAGAAACATAACTAATTAATAATAAAAAGGCAATATGGCCTTTGAAACAGTTGTTTCTTTGATACTGTAAACAGCCTGACTAAAAAACTTCTTTAGGTTTTCATTTTTCAAATGGATTTGCATAATTTCTTTTTAAATTACTTACTTTGAAAACAGTAAATACATTATGTAAACAATGCTTGATTTGCATAGGCTTTTAAACAGGGATAATATGGAATCATCTGCATAAAGTTTATTTTTAAATGTACTTTTCTGGAAAAAATAGGACAGTGTGTGAGATAGAAACTCCACTGAAGAATCTACTTCACACCCTTGAGTCACGTCCTTTTCCACAGCTGAACATCAATAATTTATTTATGAACAACCAAGTTTTTGAGTGTGCCCTTTACTAATCTGTCCTTCATTATTCTGCTTTCCCTTTAGAACTGAGGTTGCTCAGATTTACCATCAGGTTTCTGATAACTTTTGTTATTCTCATAACTGAGCCTCCGAAATGTCTGGCAAGATGAAAAGATACTTTGTTTTTTACTTTCTTTAAGTCTACCACGTGGTTGAAGGGGAATAGTAGCCATTGCACCCTATATGTGATTTTTTATGAGACCAAAACCCCATTTCATTACTTTTTTGTTTTGTTCCTCTTTCAAGGGTTACGTTTGGCTTAACCAGATGCTGTCAGCAATTCCTTTTTGGAGTACTTCAGTCACAAATTTGTATTGGTTTTGCATCTATTTTAGGTTGGGTGTTGAAAACAAAAACTTACTTCAGTAGAAACTCTCCAGTCTTTCTGCTGGGAAAATGTTACCACTTCAAAACTGAGGGTGAGTACAGGGCACTTCCCTTATTCCAGCCTTACTCAGCAGGAGCTCTGTAGATGAATTTTTATTCTTCTAGAAAGACTGTCATTAACAACGATCAAATTAAAAATGTAAATATGAAAAGCTTAGAAAATACTCATTGAAATGTCCGCCACTAATGCCACCCATCCTGATTTATTTCAATTTTGCACTGAAGCCTTGTTCTTTATGTGAATATTAGTGTTGTAATTTGCACTTTACTTCATTTACCATCAGTTTGGGTTTTTTTTTTCTAAAAACCTCCTGGTTGAAATGGTGGCAATACTTGTACCAGGAGTCACTACACCAACACCTTCATTATCATTTCCCAGTGTGCACTTTTCTAAGTCTCTCTCTCTCTCTATTGGACCATTTACAGTTGGGCGAATTAAGCTGTTACTTGCAGGTCAGTGATTCATTCCACTGGCATGGTGGTCTGCATTGCTTTTTTTTTTCTTTTTCCCTTTTTTGTTTTCATCTGGCCCATTTCTGTTATATTTGCTTTCCAGTTTTCCTTTCTTGTATTTGAAGCAATTGTTACTTTTTGTAGATTTGGTCTGTTTTTCTAACTGAACATTGTATATCTGTTACTTGCTTTCTAATAGAAGTGCTGTATCAACTTGTAACTTAAACTGTGCCTTCCAGAATCTGGTGAGCTCTCTACAGATGGGTCCAATTTTGATAAAATCAACACAGAGATTTCGGGAAATGTTGAGGAGTTTCGTAAAGATTTTATTTCCCGGATCTGGCTGACGTACAGAGAGGAATTCCCTCAGATAAAAGGGTCTGCATTAACCACAGACTGTGGCTGGGGCTGCACACTGAGAACTGGGCAGATGCTGCTGGCTCAGGGCCTTATGCTTCATTTTCTTGGGAGAGGTGAGTTACGGGGGAAGATCTGTGTGTGGGATCAGCACGAGTGTTCTGTGAGAGCACCGTGGCCTTGCTGTATCCCAAACCTGAAGGGCAAGCTGGCTTTGCTTCTGCAATCTTGGAATTGTCCCATTGTATCAGTGATTGAGCTTGTCTTACCTTTCTATTCTGAAAAAGGGAAAACCAAAGGAAGCTTCTGTGGTATTTCCAGTATCCAGCTGTGGAGTAAAATATCACAAAAACTTTGTGATCCTCTACCTTATCCATGCACATATCCAGTTACCAGGAAATTCGGTCATTTCTTGAACTCAAGATGTGGGAATGAATAGCAGAGCCCATAGCTGTGGGCTATGGCAAAAGTGAACAGTTTCTTTTATCATCTTTTATCAGTTTTAAAGCTGTACGTTATTGAATTTCTCCTAGTATTAATATATTGAGTTCCTGGAAGGATTCTAATCTAACTTCAATACATCATTCTCTGTGTGGAAGTTGTCACTGTGTCATTTCCTCCCTTCTCTCCCGTGTACTTAGAGAGGAACTTGCCATTTTTCCTTGCCATTGTCTATCCAAAACACTCCCTCAGTCCCAGCCAGATGAAGCAGCTTCAGGAGCCGTGGGGCACTTTCTGCTGTCACAGGCTGAGTCTGCATGTCCTCCCAGGCTGAGCTACGGCCTGCAGAGAGGTGTTTTAGGTTCTTCTTTCCATCCCCTTCCCAATCCCTTTCCTGTTCTCCCACACTGCCCCTTTCAAACACTCAGCCATGTTCTCTGTCCCCGCTGGTTGTTGTCAGACTGATCCAAGGCGTGGGGCCTGAACCTGCGTGTGTGGGAGAGAACACAGGGTATTGTTTGCTCAGCCATTTGTGGGATCCCGGCAGGACTTCAGTAGGAGATGGTTCTGAAAGCCTGTTTTGATAATACTTTGCACTTACTGTGCAAATATGATGTAAGCTGTGAACGTGATCCCAACCAGCTGCACCACAAAGTCCCCATTCTCGGCAGTGTCGGGGCAGAACTGTCGGGTTGGCTTGTTGAATGTTCCTTTGGCTGGAGATATTTAAGTCATAAAACATTCATTATCTCTTGCAACTGACTGCAGATATCAAAATGTATGCAAATACTTCTGCTGAGAACACAAATCCCTTAAATATCAGTTTTGTTATACATACTCTTCGAAAAAATTCAGAACCTGATCAGAAGACTCCCTGTGAGCAGGAGTGTGTAATGGCTCGTTCTGAAGTAACCCCAAACAAAAAAGCCCCAGGTTTCTATCTTTAAAATCCATGGTTCCAAAGAATTCCTTGCACTGTCCCCCATGCATCCTAATTTGGAAAGTGATGAGGTGATTCCAGAGTGCAAGTGATTCTGTGGCAATCCAGTGCACAGGAAAATGGAGTATGGATGGTCTTTCTGGACTACTTTGCTCCTCACCTGGTCTTCTGACAGCTGGTGAATTATCTTTTGAAAAGCTTTTTATGAGGTCTGGGCAGCTCTGGAAACATATTTAAGTGTTTACACGAAGTTTTTCATGGCTGTTTTCTCTTTTCCCAGAGATATTTTCATTCTGGTTTAATGGTGATGTTTCTCTTACAAAGCAAAACTTGCCTGCAGTTTCTAGCTGGGATACTTGCACTTCCACTGCCATGTGGAATGTTCCAGATATTGCTGAATGACCTTGTAAAGGAGGTTTTATTTTAAATATTGAGGCACTGGTAGGTTTTGCTTTGAAATGCCTGTGCTTAAGACAGTGACTGAAAGACGAAGCTGACAGTGCAGGGACGTCCTGTGAGGATGTTACACTGAGCTATGCATGCCTGGGTATGTGTTACAAGTAGTTGTTTGAACTTGTGAGAGACAATTCCAGACATCTGACTGTTCTCTAGATCTGCTGAACCCCATTCTGCTGTGGGAGGAATGCTGTGTAAGATGCATCCTTAGAGAAACCCTCAGCTAAAAATGCAGGCTCTAGATCCTGTGCTGAATAGCATTAAACAAGGTTGTCTTGTAATCCAAAATCACTAATTTAGTGAACAAGGAAATCTTGCCTATTTTTCTTCTGATCTGCTTGGACATTTTGCCAGGAAGGAGTGTTTCTTTTTACATTAATAATTTCTCAGGTTTGCCTGTTTTTCTTTGTTAATAACTGACAAACCAGAAGAATTGAAACTAGCTTTTGAAACTTCTTTTTTGACATGGATAAAAGGTTGGAAGGGGCTGCCCAGGCAGGTGGTGAAGTCTCTGTCCCTGTAGGTATTTAAGAACAGAATGGAAATGGCACTTGGTGCCATGGTCTAGTAGACAAGGTGGTGTCAGGTCAAAGGTTGAACTCAATGATCTCAGAGCTCTTTTCCAACCTAGTTGATTCTGTGATTCTCTTTTTGAATAGTACTGAATAGCTAATGTTCCTATTTTTAATAGGTAAAAGACTTCTGACCTGTGTCAGAAGTCCTAACAACAACTGGGTTATTTTATTTCACCTGTCATTCAGCAGAAAATAAAAGGAAACCAGAATTACTGAAACTATTCTGCTAGAATTCTTCATTTACATTTCAACAGCAACATTTACAGCTCAGAGTGTGAAATACATGTTATTTGTTTAAAGAGCATGGAGAACAAAGGGAAGTGCTTTACTTAATATAGCAGAAAGTTAGTATTAAGCCTGATTAACCTTGCTTTCCGTGCTGCAGCTTGGGTGTGGCCGGAGGCGCTGGACATGGACTCGGACTCGGAGTCGTGGACATCGCACACGGTGCGGAAGCTCACGGCGTCCTTCGAGGCGTCGCTCACGGCCGAGAGGGACCCCAAGATCCTGCCCCAGCCACAGGCACAGCCCCAGCGGGGCACCAGGAGGAACTGGGATGTCAACGAGAGGAGAAACGAAGCTTATCACAGAAAAATAATCTCTTGGTTTGGCGACTCCCCGCTGGCAGCTTTTGGCCTGCACCAGTTGATAGAATATGGGAAGAAGTCCGGGAAAATGGCGGGGGATTGGTACGGCCCGGCCGTCGTTGCTCACATTTTAAGGTAAAAAAATACCTTTATTCTTTGTTACCTTTCTTTGTTACATCACAGAGAAGCATTTCGGGCTGTCCTGAGATTACTTCAGCCTAGTTGAGCATCAAACTGGTCATTATTGGCTTTGTAAAATGCCCATATTAGAAGCAATTCTGGAGATTTTCCAGAGGCAGGTGGGGAAATAGCATTCAGTCCCTGCACCTGCTGCTGAGCTTTTATCAGTCTTATTTCAGGAAAAAAGACAACATTCCTGTTTTCCTGTGCAATCCCAAGTATCTCTTACAAACCTTTTCAATAGAGCTGCATTTAATGAAATGTTCTAAAAACTAACCACTCTTTCAACCTTGGAACATGCATAACATTAGAGGTTTTTTTTTTTTTATACTGTAACCTGGGGGCTGTAATGTACTGATAGTGTAATGAAATGTCAGAGCTAAAATTGATGTTTTCAGCATTTCTTTGCACACATCAAATTCTTGTGAAACTGTAAATGTATGGGACTATTAATATTATAATTATATCCCAGTAAAAGTAAAGGGTCTGTGACATTCAGTGTGGTTAAAAAAAAAAAAAAAGGGAAAGTCAAATTTCTCTATACTGTGTGCCTTGATATGCCATTTCTTTGAATATTTTGGGGTTTTTTTATAGTCTTATATGCTTATTTTCTTAGTGGGTTCCAGTTTACCCATAAACTGAACCACTACTAAGTCATTTCAGCAGCGAAAGGCAAAGTTCATACATTTATATATACATATATATATAAATAGAAAAATTTTATATTTAGTGTACAAGTATGTTAATCTGAAGTGCAGCTGAACTGAAATGATGAGGTGTATATGTGTCACACCTGCAGATTCATACAGGGATGTAGGAGTTTAGCACTATTAATGTGTTTTATTCTGCTTTTTTCTGGTGATGGAAGCTGTCAGAATTCTTTTTGCTTGCTTTAATAAATTACCTATTAAATTACCCATTTCCCTAATGGGAGCAGAGAGGGATTTGGTGCAGAATTACACTCACCACAACCTCAGTGGTGATTTCCAGCCCTGGAAAGATTTCCTTTCCTGGATTTTTCTCTCTTACAACAGCACTAACAATGTACAGCTCCCTCATAACTTGGGAACGACTGTGTTAAAAGATTCCTCAAAATATAGTGTGAAATAAAGAGATAGTGACCATTTAATGCAAGTATATGTTGAAGTCAAAGGCTAATCTTCTATTTTGAGCAGTTTCATTTCTTTACAAATGTTGTCCTTGATTGATGGCCATGGTTCTGACTATCAACATATATTTTATTTTTTTAGCTTTTAGGCCCATTGCATTTATTCTTTTGAGGAGAGCCTAATATTGTAATTCTGGTTTTGAAAGTTTTGGTGAGACCCTACAGCTTTTTGTGTCTAATCTTTATTTCCACAGACACCGGGTGCTATTTTGTGGCTGGTTATATAAACTGAGGTCAAATAAAGAGAAGAAAATTTTTGTCAACAAACTTAGGCTTTATCATCAATATACATGACAAAAAATTGTTATAAACAGAAGGAAATGAGACAGTGAATAGGAATTCCATTCTAAGTTAATGTGGGGTTTGGGGCTTTTTTTTGTGGTTTTCATTATTTCATTGTCATCTTTGCTTGGGTAAAACCTGTTGACTTGGTATCCAGTGTTTAAAAACAAACAAAAAACCCATCCTCCGTCTGTATTTATCTTGAGTTAAACAAAACAACCCCTCCTCCAAAGAAAAACAAACCAAACAAAAAAACCATTTACCAAACAATTAAACCCCACCTGTTTCTAAAAGAAAATTATGTTTATTTGCTGTTAATTTTTTTAAATGAGAGATTAATTAAATAGTTTGTGTTTCTACTTAGAAAAGCTGTTGAAGAAGCAAAAGACCCTGAGCTGCAGGGAGTAACAGTCTATGTTGCTCAGGACTGTACAGGTAAATGTTGCGATTTTGTGGATTTTTGCAAACATTTTAGATGATTTTTGTGCCTTTCAGTAAGTTCTTAACAATAGAACTCTAAAGGAAAATTAAAACTAAAAAAAGGTTCCACAAAATTGAGATTACGTAGACAAAGGGGTTCTTGATATATGGAGATTGTCTTTGTATGTTCCTTGTTTGGTATCTCACAGTCTCAAATCCAAGCACAGTGTGTTCCTTCAGGAGCCAAGTTCAGCTGCCACAGGTTTAGTTCTATCAGAACTGAGCCTGGGATAGGGCAGAGAGGACCCACATCCCTGGGGAATCCAGCAAACTGGTTTAAAAATACAGTTTAATCAAACCAGTCTCACCTGACTTACAGTGACAGTGAAACTTAAAATTCTATTAGTTTTTCCCTTCTCTATCCTGAGATAATTTTTCCATCTCTCTCAGTTTGGAGGGGATAAGCAATAACACAGCATTAATTTTTTTTCCCCCATTTTCAATGACTGTGTTGTGTTAACTTTAGGCAGTGAACTTGAGTGTGGATTAAAATCAATTATTGCCTTTTTTCCTTCACCATGCAGATGTTTCTGTTAGTTGTAGGCTTTCAGGTTTTAATTATTCCTTTTAGAGGTTTATATGTAGTGAATAAATATTGGCTTCTTCCTAACCTACCCTTCTGCATTTCCTTGGCAATGTAACTTAGCAGCAGCAATGGCCATTCCACAAAACTGCTGAAAACAAGGAGATGTAACACTGGTTTTGATCAGACTCAGCCAGGATTGTGTTTCAGTAGCACAGGAAGATTTGGAAGGGCTGCAGTTTTATTTTGTCAGACTTTGTGATGCCTTGTTGTAGGTGTGTCTCTAAAACTGGAGGTTTGTATTTGAAATTTGGGTATTTTCACGTGTCTCCTTTCAGTGTACAGCTCCGATGTCATTGACAGACAGTGTTCTCTCATGGACTCTGCAAAAGCAGGCACAAAAGCTGTAATTATATTGGTTCCTGTGAGACTCGGTGGAGAGAGAACAAACACGGACTACTTGGAGTTTGTAAAGGTATGAAATGAGAGTTCAGTCATTTCTCAAAGAGTAGCACAGGGGGATATGAAAAGCAGCTCCACGATGGTAATTCTCCCCATTAAACGTGTGGTGGGGATTTTACAGTTGAAGGTTGTAAAGTTTGACTTTACAGATTTTAAATTTCCCTATTACAAGCTCAGACATAATTGCAGAGCACATGATGTCCCTTGGTGAAGCAGTGATAACTGTCCTGCTCCTGCAGCACTACCTGGAAAGGCATTAATGCAGTGGCTCAAATTACAAATGGTAATTTAATATAGCACGACTCTAATAGCATATGTAACTAAGGATCAGGCAGTGTTTTAAAATATAAATATACTCAAGCCCTTACTCTGCTTCTTATTTTCTTAAATATCAAATGGTTTAGTTGTTGCTTGTCTGTTCTTCACATTTTCTTATGTCTTTTTCTTCCCCTTAAGAGAGGGGATGGAGTTACTTGATATCTCTAGTCACTACTCAAGTATTTTCTCACTATCTGGATGAATGTTTGAGGGCAGCAATCCAGGAGTAGCAAACAGTTACCACAAATAAAAATGAACTGGAAACAAAAGAAAACTCAAGGAGAAAGCAGAGGGGAGGAAGGTCTGTGCTGTCCTTTCTTTTTCTAGCAGGGGTTCTGCTGACACCTGAGGATGTGCTACAATCTTGCCTCTTCCTTCTCTTAGGGAAGACCTTGTTCTCTTAGCCCTGCTGCTTTTATTTCAATTTCTATACTGCTTTTTATTTGTCTTTAAATTCTTGTTTTCATTTTTAAAATGCCACAACGTAGTAGCAAGAGCAAAAGCCGAGTCTGTATTATTATTTTTTTGTGTATGTCTCTTCAATGTAAAATTTTAGGAAAACATTTGGTTTTTACTGGCATGGGAAGACAGACCAGCGGAGCCTTTTAAGTGATGAACCTAAATTGTTATTCTTTCCTGATTATTTTCCTTGTATTTTCAGGCAGTTGGTTTTGGAAAAGTTTTAGTTTTAGCCAGTGCAGCTGGTTCACTGTGTGATTCCTGCTGTCACTTCCCAGGCCTTTTCCTGCCTTTTGCAGGCTGATGGAGGCTGTGATAAGAGGGCTCTCAATTGCCTGAATTAGTCACTCTGCCTTGACTGGTCACAAGAAGTGACTGAATTTCTTGGAGTCTGGATTTAAGTTAAAAATGCAGATTTTAGAGTGTAGCACAAGAGGTAATTTCTACAAAGGATTTTATATTTATGGATGAAAATTGATAAATTTTTTATAATTCACTTTTACAGGAGGCTTCCCATAGATGAAGCGGTTATCCATTACTCTGGCTAGCTTTGCTCCTCTCTGTTCCACTGGCAAAGGATGTGTCTTCTTGGCTGTTTGAGCCTTTGCCTCTGATCTGCCTGAATGTTCTGTGATTCTCAGCCCTCAAGGAGCATTTTCTAAAAAAACCTTCTCATTCATATTTTAAATAAGCATCACTTTTTTAACCCATATAAACCATCCTGAATTTGACTCTGTAGCATGTCAGGTGAGGTTTTTAAGTGACTTCATCGTTGTCTAAGCAGGGAAGATTTCATCTTGAGAAGCTTTGGTCTTAATAATGTAAAAATAACAATCTTTTTGTTGAGAGAAATGTTCCCCACTTACACAATGATAATGTGATGGTTTTACTTTGAGTGGTTGATCTCTTAGAGGAGAGGATTGAGATATGTCTGCCAGTTAATGAAGATCTCCTGTGCCTCAACTGACAGTCTTCTGGATTGTGTTCCCAGTTCGGGCCAGCATCCAAGTTTTTGGACCCAACACTTGCCAGTGCTACAAGAAACCTTCTGTGATTTATGGACATTTAAAGGCTGTCCAGTTTTCAGAGTATTTAATAGTCGTGGGCTTAATTGGCATGAGGACAGTTGGGCTCAGCTTTCCTAAATGCTCAGTGTTGGCAAAATGCAGCTCCTGCTGGAGTTGGTGGGATAACTGATGGAGAATGTGGGACAACTGATGGAGAACTGTGCTAAGCCAAGACTGAAGAGTCACAAAAGTTCTAATGAACCTCATGAAGTGAGAAGAGTAGGATCATTTGAAGGGAGAAGGAGGAAGGTCCTCTGTCCCTTCATCCATCCCTTGTGATAGAGAAGCGACCAGGGGCATTTTCCTTGGATTCTGTGTTTCAGTCAGTTAAACTGCAGAAATGTTTTCAGCTTGGCAAAACTGTTGTCTACGGGTAAATCTTTCTCCCCAGCACTGGCAAGTATATCCATAAAATCAGCATTTTATTAAGTAAGAGGTGTGCTCAGTTGACCCCAACCCTTTTTCAGCCTGGATGAGCAGAAATACTATAGCCCGTGGTTGAGACCCCAGCTTTTTCAGTCCTTAGTGGCTCCTGGTTTTGCCATGAGTGGAGGAGTCTACTCCTTTCTTTCCACCTCCAGACTAAAACAATTCCTGTATTTCACCCCTTTAAATTAGGTGTATTTGTGTTGTCCCTTTCCCAAAGGTGCTACTACAGATGGTTCTGATTCCTCTGCCCTCACAGGCAACATCCAGAGAGATTTATGGGGCCTGTCTGTTGTGTGTTTGTCTCTCCTCCCCAGATTTTGGGTGGCTGTTTTTAGAGCTGGATCTCATAATTAGTCTTGCTCCAACTGGCATTTGATGTAGAAGTTGATACTCAGGCCAGACTTGTCCATCTGAATGCAAAAAGAAGAGTCCCCAGGGCCCCAGAATGTAAATGTTTATGAAAGCTGTAAATCTCAATACTTGGGTATATTTTGACTGAGCAAGTTGTGTTCAATGTGTACAACATTATGTTTTATCTCCTCCTCAAAAATAATACTGCCAATTCTCTCAGTGTGTGGGCATCTCTTGGAAAGAGGGAGGACTTTCTCTGGAATATCTTGTACGTGTTTTCACTTTGGTCAAGCCCCAGAAAGTCATGAAGTCAGTCTTTTAAAATAAATAAAAGAAATTATTTGCCTAAAACAAGTTAAGAGCAAATATTTAAGTATAATACTTACTCTGTTTAATACTCAGTCTGTTTAACACTGTCCTAATGATATAATGTTTTTCTTGTAGGGAATTTTAAGCTTGGAGTACTGTGTTGGAATTATTGGTGGCAGACCCAAGCAGTCGTATTACTTTGCTGGATTCCAAGGTTAGTGTTTTAATGTGTTATGTCTCTTCAATAGTTTTTTCTCTGAGTTAGGAAGTTAATATCAAACCAGTGGGAAATAGCATGATTAAAATAGCAAAATGAGTACCTTATTAATTCATCATATCTCCCCAAGTCCAGCCATTTGTCATTTACCCCACAGAGTAATTGGATTCTCTAAAATGTACATTTAATTTCCGTTGTTGCATAAACAAGGCATAATTTATCTGTTTCACCAAACTTGAGGAGCATTTGCTGTTCCTGCCTGGCAGTTCTTATTTACCTATTTGCTCTTCCCTGCTTTAAGTGGTGTTAGTTGATGCCTAAATGACAAGCAATATATTCTCCCTGTCAGGATGAAGCAGCGCGATACATTTTTCATACGCAAACTCCAGAATATAATTGTGTGTTTGTAAAAGTAATTTTATCACCAAAAATTAAATGACAGTTTCATCACTTTATAAAAATTCTGCTTATACAAGCATATTTGATTATGCAAAAGTTAATCTGTCCTGCAAAAACCAATGCTTCAGTCAATGAGTATCAGCCTGGCAAGCAGTTACTCGCTGGCTTTTTTTCCAGCTGTTCTGCATAGAAATTGGATTGTAAGCAGTGTAATAATAAGGTGTTTTTTGAATTACTTGTCTTCTGTTTTGTCCTTGTAGATGACAGTTTGATTTACATGGATCCTCATTACTGCCAATCTTTTGTAGATGTCAGCATAAAGGATTTCCCTCTTGAGGTACTGTGGATATAGACCTGGCACTGTTTTCTTCCCATATGAATCAAACACTAATTATTTAGAGATGTTCTAGCTAGCTGCAGCTTTATGGTTTTACAGTTACATGTTATTTATCAATGTCCTGCCCTTCTTTATGGGCCTATAATCAACAAAAATGACCAGAGGTTAAATCTCAATATGGGGGTTTAATTTTTACTTCATTAATCTTCATCTTTTTTCTTTTTAATGATCAGAGAATCTCAAAAATAGATGATCACTTCATTTAAGTAATTTTACATCATATTTGTAGATCTTAAACCTATTTAAATTGGGAGTTTATTAGTTTATCTTTTTGGTCATTTTATTTATTTTATTTTTTTTTTAATTCAAATTGCAATCAGCATCATGGAGAGAATTACTGTGGTACTCAATAGTAGGAACCTGGAAGTAGATAGAGCTAAAGGAGGTTATTAGAGAACTCAATTTACAAGTACCCTGGGAAAACATTATCAGTTACAAGTAAGTGTTCAATAGCCCCCGTACTCACAGCAGAAATCCTCAGTGCCATCCACACAAACCCTCCTTGGTCTGGTGTCCAACTTCACAGGAACTTCCAGCAGCTCCTGATTCAGTGTAGGAGCAGGCTGTGCACAGACAGCAGCAGCTGCTCCAGAGCAGAGCTGGAGCTGGATGTTGGTAGTTGCTCCTCAAGCCATGGTGTTCTGGGAAGTGAAATAATACGGCTTCAGAAACAACACAGTGCATTAAATAAGGAAGAGGAATGTACATCTGCAGTTCTGATGCTAATACCTTAATACCTTAAACAAAAGACCATCAAATAGTATTTAGGGAAAGCACTTTTATGTATATGCATCTATCTATAGATAGATAGATATCTGAAGGGACTAATGTCAAGTCCTAGGGCCAACATAAAGCAAACACTACTTATTTTTCATTACTTATGCTTAACAAAATGCTTTAGTTAGCATGTTGCATAATATAGAAGTGTAAGATTCTCTAGAAAATGAGAATGTTCTGAATTAAGCAAATGAACACAACAGCAAAATACATTGGGAAATATGCTGGCCAGGAAGTTTGGTTATATTTCGAGCTGCTGTTAGATTTACCCTGCTGAGGTGTTTGGAGGAAGAGCTGGTGAGTCCCAGCTCTACCTGTTTCCCTGTGGCAGCAGCCAGAGATAGTACCCCAGATAGATCCTTTATGCTAATATCTGTTTTACTACAGTGCCTCTCTGAAGGTTTTACAGTTTAATTGGGAAACCAGACAAAAGGTGGGAAAAGCCCAAAGTGGCAGAGCTGAAGTGACTTCCCTAAGGTCTCTCCATAGCTCAGTGGCCAAGCTACAAAAAATACCCATCTTTTTGGTCTCTATTGCCATGACTCATCCTCCAGATTGTGCTGCAGACTGGCATTAATATGAACTTTCAAATAATAATAAGGTTTTAAACTGTATTTTGAAGGTGTGTGAGCTGCCAACTGGGCTTGGTTGCATCCTAATGCTTCCTGCAGACGGGAAATAGATTGCAATTTAATGCTTGGTGCATTTAATAGTATTATATCTTTGTCCAGAAATGTCAAAAGTAAACAGAAATTGCTTTCTTAGTGTGGATAGTTGCTTGTTAGATTTATCTGTAGGGAGTATTTTCAAAATTGACAAATTGTCCAGAATAAGTTGGAAATCAATCCACTCTGTATTGGCTTCCAGCATCCATTTTTTTTTGGAGGAGTGGGAAAAAAAAAACTCCCCACTTCTCTTTGTTGTGCAGTGATTTGTGTAACATTAAACCTCCTGCCTTGACAGTGCAGCGTGACTGTAGGGACAGGGCTGTTGCCGGAATGGGATGTGTGAGGCGAGGTTTGATTTATGCATTTGATGACTCAGGAATTAATATTAAAAGTAGAATTTATGTACAGAAAATTTAAACAGTGAGGAGAATAAACAGTAGCTAAAATCAGTGTTGTACAAATTGAACCAATTATCTTTGCTCCTATTTTTTTAGCAGAGGTTTAGCAGAAATATCTTTTAGGTCTGTAAGCACGAGGAAAAAGGAATATATTTTGTTGTGTAAAGCTGTTACCGATACACTCGGATTCAGTAACCAGCGCTGTCTTCTGTAGGGTGACTCTTCTGATGGGCATAAAAAGGGACAAAACGGGTTTCCAACATGCAGACAGTGTGATGCTGGTGCTGATCCCAGTTAGATTGCAGCAGTTGTTAGTTCTGTTCAGAGAGGGAACCCAGCAGTGCTGGTCAGAGCTCTCCCGCCTCGCTCTGTCCCGCTGTGCTCAGACCTGTCCCGGTCCTGTGCCATCCAGCTCTGCCAGAGCAGCCTGAGCACGCACAGCTTCCCTGGCAGTGGGAAAGGGAACAGCACAGAGTCTTCCCTGGACAATATTGGTCACAGGGGGAAGTTCCTGGAATCCATAGTCAGCGTTTGAGCCCGGCGGGATCCGTGTGGTGTGGAGAAGCTGGATCAGGATGCTGGGGATTTAATGGAGGAAGGATGGCGGGGTTGGAGGCAGAATAGAGAGGACTGGTTACCTCTGAGAGACAGGTCATGAAATAATTTCAGTCACTGGACAATGAGCTTCACCAAAACTCCTGCAATAAAAACCCACAGGATCAGGGTAGATATAGATTGATTTTTTTTCTCTGATAAACTGAACGAGGAGCAGAATGGGGAAGGGGGTTTTGTGTCTGTTTTTTCTTACAGCATGGCTGCTGATAGTTCCCAGCACTGCCAGAGCATCATCTGTCATGGAAAGAGATTTCACGTTAGGAAAAACCCATTTGTAAAGCAGGGCATGTTGTTTGGCTTTTCCCTACTTGTGGATCATTGTAATATGGTTTTGCTTTTGTGGGTTTTGTGGGTTTCTGAACCCATTTCATTTACTAAAGGAAAATGCATGAGGTTGGTTTATTCCATTATGTCTCTTTTATAGAGGCTGGGGGAGGGAAGGGGGCACTGGGCGGTGGTAGTAAAGCAGTAAGATAGTGCAAAAGCTGTTACAAATTCAATTTGCAGAAGAGCACTCACCTCCTCTGCCTTGGGAATATTCATAAAGTATTGCTGGGAGCAGCAGACCTTTGACAGATTCCAAACTAACCTGGTGGTGTGAGCAAGTTTGGGGAATGCAGCGTAAACAGCGGGAGGTTTTATGTGTCTGGGGAAGAGTGGAATTACTTGAATGTTTGGGGGGTGGAAGAAATGACTCCAAAAATGTGTGCTGGGATTTAATTCAGGTGATGCAGGGAATTGGATGTTAAGCTGTTGGAAGGGGGAAAGTAAATGCGTTGGTCTGTGCCATTCTCAACTGTAACCGTGTATTTCATGTTTTTTAATCTTGAAACTTGCAGTCATTCCACTGTCCTTCTCCCAAAAAGATGTCATTCAAAAAAATGGATCCGAGCTGCACAATAGGATTTTACTGTCGGACTGTGCAGGACTTTGAGAAGGCTTCTGAAGAAATCACCAAGGTAGGTGTCCGGGTTCCCAAATTGCTTCCTTGGCCACGATGGCATGTGGGGAAGGGAAGAGAATCAGTTTCTCTCTTCTAAGTAGACATAATTCTTTTTGGGATATTTATTGCTGCTTTTACCCAGAAATCGAGGTTGGTTTTCGTTCCATCCGATTTCAGCACATGTAAAGCTGGGCAGAGCTGGGGGTGTCTGTGGGAGCTGCTGCTGGAACTGCGGCAGGAGGGGCCCACGAGGTGGCACTCGTGAAGTGGGAATGTTCCCGAGCCAGCCCTGCCGAGCAGGGATGCCCCGGCCCGGGAGGGATGCTGAGGAGGCAGCTCATCCCTCGGGAGGGATGGGGTTGGAAATGGCAGTATTTGATCCAGCCCAGGTGTGTATTATTCCTGGTTAGCACAAGTGCTGTTTCTGATGGCGTTTAAGGGCAGGGTGGGGATGGTTTGGGAACATAGTTTGAGGGCTGTGGATCAGGGGTCACCCAGAAAACCTGTCTGATCCTGGAAAAACACTGATACAGGTTCATTTGGGTACAAATGTAATTAACTTTCTCCCTCCTTGATTATTACATTATGTAAGGGACTGAAATGCAGCATCATTAATTTGTCCTCTGAGCTGTGGCAGCAAAAAAATGATGATTTTAAAAATAGTCTGTTAAAAGGATGCAGCAGCAGCAGATGGGCACAATATCAACCACAGCAGTTATCACAGCAGCACAAGGAATTAATGTTTGTACAGCATCGGGAATGTCCTGTTAACTGGTATTAGTATGAGAGCCAAAAAGGCGTTTTTTTAAACTTAAAACTGTTTACAGTCTTCTGTAGGTATTGATTTATGCTGAAGTTGTTTCTTTGGTACTTACCCAGAGAGGTAGAAAATAGATTTAAAGAAGTAGAAGTTCCTAAGAAGCAGATACATGGAAAGTTTAAATAGTGAAGTTTCTATTCTTCTGTATTTTCCTGTTCTGTCACAAAGTAAAAATGGTAAAAAAATCTAATTACAAAATCGGTTCCAGTGGAACTTCTCTTTCTCTTATTTCCTTCTTTCTGTTTGTTCAAGTTTTCTGAACATATGTAGGTGAAAATACTCATGGCTGATCCAACTCTTGGATCTGTTATTTATCTTAGAAAAGTTCTTTAATATTAGTGACTTTATTTTATATAAATATATTCCCAGCACTATAAATTTGAAAATAAAGTTTGGATACAGATACAATGTGAGAAACATTCTATGATCTTTCAATCATTCTTTCATATCCTTTGTGTTTTCCTGTTCTTCCATTATCTTTCCCTTTGTTTGCAATTTCCGTGCAGTAACTCTTGAATTACAAAGCCCAGGGTATTCCCAGTGCCCTATGTGGGCTGGACTAAAAAATGCAAGTTCTCATTGCTTTTTTGGGTAATAAGAGGTGAGACAAAAGATTTAGCTTTTGGTACTTGAGGATAAACATTATTCAGGGGTAGAGAAATTAGGGCCTGGAAATTGAGGGCCTGAGTGATGGGTGAAACTCCATCCAAACCACATTGAGGTTACCCTCTGGGAATTGTTTCCCTATCCAAACCCATGACAAAAAATCAATAATTCCTTGGGATTGCTATCCAGCTGCATCTGCCCAGGTTCTTAGCACCAATGAGAGGTTTTCCCAAGAACTGGACTGATGGAAGGTTGAACTTGGATTAGGTTCAGAATTAACTGTAGTGGCGACAACAGTGACAGTCTAGAATATTGAAAATATTCATGTTTATCAATACATTTCTTTAGATACCACTGTGATGATTTCTGCAGGTTCTTCAGCGTTTCAGATTCTCTGTGCTCTCTGGTGAGATGTGGCTTGGTGGCAGTTGCAGGAATCTGAACCTGGTCCCATCCACTCTTGTTTGGGCATTTCCCTGCCCAGTTCATGTTCTGTCCTTAGTGTTTCATCACCTCCCTTGGCACATGGAGGGATGTCACACAGACCTGTGGAAAAGGCAGTTTCAGGGAAAGCTGAGCACAGACCAGGCAGTGGAACCACAGGAGCGTTTCTGCCCTTGTTTGGAGGGCCCGTCATTGAAGGTGCCGTGGTGGATTGGGCACTGGGATGAAGCTTTGTGATGAGTGTTCTATTCCAAACATTACAACAGCTAAATGCAATTAAAATAGACAAGAATAAAATAAAAAACTTCATATCACATTAGAAATGAAGGATTTTATTCTGATTGGTTTGGGGTATTTTTGTTTTTCATTTTTTTTTGAACATCCACTTAATCCCTGACTGCCATTTTAAAAGTAGTTATAAGGATGTGTGTAGGGTTTTTTTTTACTGCTTTAGATGAGTTCTTCTCATGAAATTATGTGCAGTGATTTTTAGTTCCACTCAGGTGTATCTCTGGGCTGATGTCTTTTTGTATGTCACTGCAACACTGGGCTGTATTTTCAAAGCAGGTAAGAAGTAAAACAAATAAAAAAAATAAATCAGTGGACAAAACACCCTGAAAGGCTGAGATGTCTTTTAGTATTTGGCAGGTTTTTATCTGCTATTAAAGGTGTTTTGCTGATCTGTTTCAGTATTTATCATTCATCACCACCTGCTTTCTCCATGCTCAGTTTCCTTCTTTATAAATGTAGATTTTGGGCACCCTGGTTCCCTCAGCCTGTGACTGTCATCAATCTGGTTTGAGCCACGTGCTCCTGACTGGCTTATTTACATGGGGGTATGTGTTTAAACTTTGAATAAAAGCACTGATTATGTGCTGATCCTACAATAAAAACACCTCTCCAAGGTACTTGGTTGGTTGGTTGGTACTTGGTTGAATTCATACCTGTGCTTGAGGAGAGTCTTGTGGCCATTAACTATTTTGTAGGTGTCTTTATCTTCTATCTTTTATCTTTTTTATCTTTATCTTTCTTGCACTGAATCAAACAGCAGGTACAGGTGATCTGTGAGGAACAAAATACAGGGTTAGGCATGAAATCAGCAGCTGCCTGAAGAAGAAATGGAAGTAAATGTTTGTCTAATAGGAGGAGGAGATGTTTAGATGGTGCAATGCTTTTGTTTTAATGAGATAATAAAGATAAACAATGCATTTTTTACTGTGCAGTCATCATCAGATAAATACCCCTGCTTACTGAATTTCTTAATTTCAATTAACATTTTTGGGGGGTTGTGTTTGACATTGCAGATGCTGAAATCTTCATCCAAGGAGAAATATCCATTGTTTACTTTTGTCAAGGGTCATTCTAAAGACTATGACTTTGCTTCCAGTCCACTCCATGAAGAAAATGACCTTTTCTCTGAGGATGAAAAGAAGAGATTAAAAAGATTTAGTACAGAGGAGTTTGTCTTGCTTTAAGGACATTTTCCACGAGATTATCGGCAGCTGTCCAGGAGAACACTTGCCTTTGAAAAGATCAAAATGTACAAAGTGTCCTCCTCCCCCAGAAAGGCAAACTTGGGTCAAATTGGTCTATTTTCATAAAGATGATAATGTTTTATATGTTAATTGTCTTTAAAATGTTGTTTACTAATGTATGTACTGATTAGTTTTGCTCACTCTGCTCAGAACCAGGTGTGCTGAGGTGAGCCTGGGCTTCCCCTCGTAAAAACCTTGGCCATTCCCTAAATCCCTCACGTCCTTCAGTCCAGGACAAGGCCTGGTGGGTTTTGGGTGCATATCCAGAGGTTTGGAGACCACATTATTCCTGTTTGTAAGCAGAAGTGGAGTTGTATCCTGTGGGAGGGGTCCCCTGTGTTGCCCCAGCAGGAGTTGCTGCTGCCACCCTGACACATCCTGAGCAGCTCCATGCGGGAAAGGTGAGGCTGATGGATCAGGAGTCACTGTCAGCTGCAATCCTGGCATAATTATAAAGGCTGAATTGTGAGTTAAGGTACTATTTAGCAGTATGATTTTCTAATGGTTTCTCATTAAACTTGCTTTGGAGCCTTAATATGAGGAGAGAAGATAAAGTATTACCTTTCCCCACAATTTTTAAAGGTTATACTATTAATATTAACTGCAACCAATCAAAGCAGCTCCAGACAATTATTAGAGGAGAGCAGTGTTTGTTTCCTGTTTCAACTACCATAATGGTGAGGCTTCTCCTACTAGTGCAGCTTTTAAATCAAGGCAAAGGGGGGGTGGATGTGAGAAATTCTGGGCTATGATTATGATTTTTTGTTTTGATACGTGTTGTTACTGTACAAATGATTACTTGATGGTGTGTGTTCTCAGATTGCAAACAAATGTACAGAAATAGTTTAATGTTTTAACAAAGTAAATGCAATATTTAAGAGATGTATTAACGCTGCTTGGGAAATAAAAAAGGTGTGGAAACATGAAGTGCGTGTGCCTTTTATATTAATATTAGATCCTCTAAGAGTGAGGATCTAAATCTAATCATAATCCTGCATCTAAAACAATATTGTAAGGTGTGAATACTCTGTTTATTTGCAATAAAAGCAGGTTTTATTGTTGTGTTGTAAACCAAATGTTACCTGTTCTAAGTGCTGTTCAGGCGCAGAGGCACAAGTGTTGCTGATTCAAATAATAAGCATCACATGCGTTCATTAAAACACCTTTTATGAGGAAGAAGTGACTAATGGATTGATTTCAGGCAGAACTAGATCAGATCTGTATCTGTGTGTGCCTTAGCAGCATTTATTAATACTCCAAAAAGCCAAAATGAGATTGTGTTCACTTGTTTTCAAGCTTAAAAAAAACCCCACATAACATTTGTCTAAATTAGTAACCTCTGCACTTCCGAATCCTACTAATAATTGGAATAATATTACTTCTTCTAAGCTGTGTGTGAGGATGTTTGGCTTGGTCTTAATATTTTTCATTAATAGCCCAGAAGAGGGAGTAAACAACGTATTTATGGAATTTAGATGTCAAAATGAGGAGAATTGTGAGTGTCAGTGAGAGCTAAAAAGAGGAGATTCCTGGTTAGTGGAGCACAAGGTAATGTAGCTTTAGCAAAAACAATGCAAACTCTCGGAGTGGTTCCTTTGGGTGACAGTGGCC